TGTACTTAACCTGTTCCCTAAGATTGTCTCCCTCAACCTACTGAGCATAAGTCATAAGCCTATAGATATTCATATCTTCTAGCAACATAGCGGACCAGTTGAAGTCCACGGATATGTCCATGATTTTCGAGATGGTGAGATCCCCGACATGCCAACTGATACAGATATGCCTCCGGCTACCACTGGAGATGAGGTTCAAGTTGAGTAGGTGGCTGCTCCTGAGTCCGAGGCTGAGACTAATGAGGAGCGACTTGGTGTTGATGAAGAGACTTCTTATGAAGGCCTTACGGAGATTGATGAGGTGATGATAGATTCAGTCGTGCAGATTTCATTAGCTGACACCACCATGGCTGGATCTAGTATTACTGATACCCTGAGCACTGATGCCCAAAATCAGAGTGTTGCACGTGGCAGTGATGCCCCGACAGATGGAGCGACTGTGTAGACATGACCTTCTTTACCTCCCTCACTATCTTTTTATTGACTTTCTAGTATTTTGTTGCATTTGAGGACAAATTGCTTTTCATTTGTGGTTGGGTGAGGTATTTCCATACCTACCTCTTGTGATTATTATTTTTGTATATATTGGGTTTTTTGTGTTTGAATTGTGTTTTGACACTATTTTGTGGATGTTTGAGCTTGTGGCTCCTTGTTTTAAATACAAATGGTTTTTGACCCTTCTAAAAAAATTTGCCACTTCTTGTTATGTTTGATTGTGGTTGTTGTTGTGCAAATTCGAGTATCGGTTATGATCAATACCGATGACTTGAATAGTGCTCTTAATCGAACAAAAATGAATGTGCAGCTACAGTGAGGCCAAATGAAGTTGCATAGATAATATGTGAATTTTTTGCATCTCGTTGTGACTAGTCGGGTATCGAATGAGTCTCTTGTGATGAACATTGCACACTAGCGAAAGTGTGGAGTCTTGTTGGATATTGGTGTCAATACCTTGTGTGATGAGCTTATTGTGAACCTTGTGTGATGACACCTAGAATTTTCCCCGTTGGTCCGGTTGACTAAGTGATGCAAGCTCTTGAAATGATCTTAGGCAACTATTTTGAAGAGTGAAACAATTTGACAATATACCTCTTTTGTGGCCACCCTTGTGAGTGTGTGAACCTTGCTTGAACTCCCTTTTTGAGCCTTATCCTTTTCTTGGAAGAAACTTGATGCAATTGTAACCCCTCTTTATCCATTCACCCATCATCCTCATGAAGTGTGGTTTTTTTGAATAGTCAACTTAGGCCAAAAGCCTAAGTTGGAGGTGTGATGAAAGGAAAAGGTGAATCAAGAAGTGCTAAGAATTCCCCCTTTGATCCATGGTTTTGAAAAATATTGAACCACTCCATACAAAAAAAAAAAAAAAAAAAAGAATGAAAAAGTTGTGAAAGTTTCAAAAGAAATGGGGTGTCCGGTATTCCATGAAAAGTGAATAATGGGGTGAATTTTGAGCATGAATGAGAATGTTTAAGAAAAGGAAAGAAAGTGATGTTCATACCACATTTCATGAGCATAGCAGCCACCGAACCTAAATGACCATACCTTTACACTCAGCCCCGTTACAAACCTTGAAAAGACCTTTTTGATCTTGAGTGAGCTGAAGTGAATGTTGATTGGAAAATAAAGGCAAGCCTGTGGGTGAAGCATACATGTGTTCATTTTTGTGAGTGTGAGAGTTGTATGTGATTCCGGAGCTATAAATTGTTGAACGATTGTATGTGAATATGGAATCATCTTTGTGTGAAGGCATTTTAGTACCTTTGTCGAGCTTAAACTTGCATTTGAAGCAAGTATTGTGAACTTGAGAATCTTTGATAATGGTGAGTCACAACTTGAATCTTTGAGTGCACAATTGATCCTTGCATGAGTAAGTTGAGTCTTGGTGTGTGCATTCATGATTGAGTCTTTTGTAGCACTATTTGAGACATCTTTTTTGAACTGTTGAACTTGAGTTTTACTTGAGGACAAGCAAAAGTTTAAATTGGGAGTGTTGATGAGTCTGAGATTTGGACTCATTTAGGGCTTTATTTATATAGATTTAGTGTCATCAAATGCTTATTTTGTGCCAATAACTGATGTAAAACCCTTGATTTCCAAGTATATTGATTGATGAACAAAGCAAGGACACTAATTTGCAAAAAAGAATGAAGCGAGCTGAAAGAATGAAGAAAAGCATGCATGGTGATCGCCAAGTCCACTTGGTGAGTCGCCGAATGGCTACTTGACCGCCTAAAGTTCCAGGGTGCCAAGCCCTGAAGGAAATAACCAAGTTGGCGAGAGAAAGGAGCAGTCGGCGGATCGCCGAGTGGTTTTGTGATGCAGTGCTGAATTGCCCAAAGTTACACACCTTGAGGATGCTGAAGGCCAAGGCAAAAAGGGCGATGGAAATGACCAAAGAGCGGTTCGCCGGGTGGATCAGCGAGCCTGACTTACTACGCCGAGTGGCTCTTCGCAATATATTTTTGATGACTATAAATACATTTTTGAACATTTAGTTAAGTATCAATTTTAATAGTATCTGAGTTCATATTATTAATCTGAGGATTGAGACAAGTTTTTCTTTAGTTTTTCCTAAGCTTTAGAGAATTGAAGTTTTTCACTTTTGAGAAATTGGAAGTGAGTCTTTGAGATTCTTCGAATTGGACCATTGTAGAGATGAAATCAATCTTACCCATTTGATGGAAACTCAATTTGGTAACGATTTTTATCTTTTTATGATGTCTAGCTAAAACCCCAATTCTTGGGGTGTGATTATGTGATTATGGGCTGATTTAGTTTATGGGTATTGCTAATTGTTAGTTTAAATGTTGTTTAGAAGTGAGTTCAATCAGTAATTGTGGTTTAATTTAAGAATTGTAGTTGCAAATGCAGTTCTACCCTTGTGTTTTTGGCTTGCTCGAGAGAGAGGTTTTAAAACTAAGCTTATTGATTGATGGTCAGTGGGTATTGGGTTGATATAGGTTCAACTCGAGAGAGTGAATCCTAAACCCAATTCCATGCATTCATCTTGAGAGAGTGAATGGACTAAGGTGTGGGTTGTTCTTATTTTGCTTGCTTGTTGATGTTTGAGAGAAATCGACTTGATTCGGGGTAAATTGTTCGAGAGAAAGTTTACCTCCTCTATAGTCTAGCTTACTCACTAATATTTACCTATTTTCTAATAGTTGCAATTACCCATTTGTCTATATTAGCCTATAATCGAATCACATCCCAAGATCCCATCTCATTATTGTTATTTCGTATTGTTTACCACTGTTTGTAGCTGATAATGTTAAACCAAAAACTCCATTTGACATTCGTGTCATCCCTTATTTGAATAATGTCTTTATTCGATAATTTATATTCCTATGACTGATTCGACCATGTTCACACTTTACTATTGAATCTCAAACACGTACCGCTCCCTGTGGGATTCGACCCCAACTCATTTAGTTGGGTTTTATATTGACTAGCGGTCGTTGACACTTGCAATTGGATGAAGTGTCTTTGAAACGTTAATCACCGCTATGAAGGCTAAGGAGAAAGGCAAGGACACTACCGGACAAAAAGGAGCAAACAAGCTGAAGAAGTGAAGAAAAGCGATCCTGGTGATAGCCAAGACCACTCGGCGAACTGCCGAGTGGCTCTTTAGCTCGCTCAAAGTTCCAGCGTGCCAGCCCTGGTGAAGAGAACCGACTTGGTGACGGGAATGGGCGGTCGACGGATTGCCAAGCGACTCCGCGATGGCAACCTTGATCGCCTAATGTCACAGAACCCTGAAGACAAATTGCCAATGCAGACCGGCGATGGATTGGAGCAAATGGCGGATCGCCGACTGGTTCGGCAAGGCGCTACTTACTTCGCCCAATGGTCTTTCAGGCCAAAAATTGGGTAACTATAAATTGAAATTTTAAATGAAGTTTCAGGAGTTCTGATTCCCTTAGTTCGAGATTTTGAGTTTTCATTGTAGAATTTGAAGCTTTTGAAGCTTGATTTTGAGGATTTGCAAGTGGGTTTTGCAATTTACTCATTTTACACCATTGTAAAGATTTGAGGTCAGTAAGCTCACCAAGACATCCACACCACATGTTGCAAAGGCTGTTGTGGAGATATCTGAATTTGTTACTCCGTAAATAAAAAAGGAAAGGCAAGGTGCTGCCTCACCCAAACTCACTCGTAAAAAGAAATAGGTTACCGAATATGATTCATCCAAGACGATTATAGAACATAAATTGAAAAACAAATAATTACTCACATAAAATAGTAGGAACCTATCATGAGTAAAGCAAAAGGAGGTTGAGTAACTATATACACTACAACTATTAAAGTAGTACTCCATGTTAGATTTGTTACCAACTAGGTGCTAACACAAGATGCTACTTTATTTCTGTAAGCATTTAATTTTAACTTAATTTATCTCATCAAAAGTTGGGTGCAAGTAAAGGCAGTAAAGAAACTAGAGAATCAATATCACATTTCATTTCTATAAAGGGAAATATTTAGTGTCGCAAAAAAAAGTATTCTACTCTATAAAGTGACTGTCCATAGACGAAATCAACAAAGTTGGGTATGCACTTTGCACAAATATTCCTATGGTGTTTCATGTGAAAAAAAACAACAAAATAAAAGAAATTATATATAAGCAAAAAAAAAATAAACAAATAATAATAAGATGATATCGTAATCATAGTGGTGATGATTTTCATGCAGGTGCATTAATTCTCTTTGAGTCTTTGTTGCATTTCTTGTCAGAAGAGAGCAGCCTTTCTTGGTCTCCCTCCTTCTTTCTTGGATTGTATTGAAGTGTTAGTTCAGCTTAGCTTCAGGCAGTACCTTAGCTTTTGCCAGCATTTCAGTTGTAAAAGATATACTAGATATATATAGTGAATTAATATAAAAACAAGTATACTAGTAGAGTAGTGTATTGACTTTGTCCTCTTTGAATTGATCACTTATTTGTGCAAAACTTCAACAAGTCTTGAAGCATAGTAATGATGAAGATGAGAGTTTCCATTTTTCTACTTCATCCCTAGCCATGGTGATCAGGGTTGTCAGGGTCAGGCCAGAAGTGTGAGTACTTCAACCAGTCAGCATCTTGAGAGTTTGTGATGGATGACTCCTACAACAATCAATACAAATTTATTAGTACTAATAAATACATTGAACAATTCAAATATATGTTGGCATGTCGTCACAAATGAAATCACATATTAAGAATCTTTTTTCTTCTTTACAAAATGAACATGCCCGCATTAAAGTAACATTTTTCTTTTCTATACACCTTATTGATATGTTTTCTTAGTTAGGGAGCAATTAATGTCAGGATTTTGGCCTAATTTAAACTATTTCAATGTAAAGCATATTTGTAAAGGTTTTAGCTTCATCTCTCCCCCTTTTCTTTGTTGTTCAAAAGTTGTTGGTTAATATTTACCAGTTTCCTTTTAGCACATTCCAGCCTTAAGGTTTCACATTTGGAGCAAGTCCAAGTATTGTAGATATATATAATTAAGTACACAAATGTGCATTATTATATCCCTCAAGTTTTCAAAGTGCAAGTCACACAATTATCAGATTTTACCACCATCTAAGTACAACTAGAATGGAACCCCTATATTTTGTATACAAAACGGAAAAAACAAAGATAATAAACATTATAAGAAATCATAAGGTTGTTCAAATTAATATGCATGATATGATGAAAGCAACTTCAATCGAATGGGCAAATGAAGAAGCAGAAAGAGAAACAATGAAACATATGTAAATATATTGGATGTGTTCGGTACAAAGGAAAATATTTGTCATGAAAAATGTTTTCGAGGTTATATTACATATTTTCTTGTGCATTGATAATAAAAAACTATTATCCTAAAAGAAATAGTATAATATTCAGAAAGTACTACGGAAGGTGGAGGTGAGGAGATAGGGGTTTGGAATGGAGGGGATGAGGGCTATGGAATGTGGGGCTGAAGATGAAGTGTGTTGGATGGTGGAAGGATACAATCAATATGAAATATCACTAGCTGAGCTTATTTTCCCTACTTTTTTAGTGAATTCATGACCTTGTTTTCCTAGAGAAAATATTTTTCAAAATATTTTATTTTTATTTTTATTTGACCAACCTAACGATAATTGAAATACATTTTTCAAAAAATATTCTTCTTCATACCAAAAATACCCTTAGACTTGTTCATGCATGCAGTTTAAAAGGTAAAGAATGATATTTTAAACTTATGACTTAAAACAAGTCTTAGGCATTTCTATAACTATCAAAGCATAATACATAAATAAATATTTAAATTTGGCATCAGTTGTCATGTAAGTACTTTAATTTTGAGAGTGTACATCTAGACACCTCAAAATCATCTCAACTGAAAACTAAATACTCCAACTCATTCCTACTGTGCCTTGTTGACACCCAACATACACGTGACTCATTACTTTAGAAATGTCTACATAATTATTTTGTAAGTTGGATTATTCAACTAGCTAACACATTAAAGACAAATTGAGATGTCTAATAGCCCGTTTGGATTGACTTAAAAAAGTAGCTTTTAAGTCAAAAATAAAAAAATCAAACTGAAATGACTTTTAAGTCAAAATAACAAGTAAGGGGAGACCTACTTTTGGTTTTTGACTTATTTTTAAGTCATTTTTTACTAGATTTGATTGACTTTTAAGCCAATCCAAATGGGCTCTAAATGTGCATATTCAAAATTGAATATTTACATGTCAGCTCCGGCTAAATTTGAAATTTTGTTTATGTATTATGTCAATTATATATTATCTTATTAAGGGTGAATTGCAAATTTTAAAATTTAATATATTTTTTTTATAAATATGAAAAGATAAGAAGAATTGAAATAAACTAAACAAGAAGTATTTCATAAATTAAGACAGAGAGTAACGAAGAGAAAATTATTTTTATTATGAAAATGGTGCAATATGAAAGTGCTAATAAAGGGAAGAAGACGACAAAGATGTTGAGGTAAAGTAGATTGGAATGGAATAAGAGAGAGCCAACTCTTTTCCGTTCCGCATATAATTTCTTTCTTCTTCTTTTTTTAATAGAAAAACCGAAAGGATGGAAAAGTAAAAGAAAACGGTTTGATCACAGTTAGCTTTTGACTGCTGAATCCCATGCATGCAATTGAGTATTATTTGTCTTTTTCATATAATGATTTATTATCAAAACCTCTAGTTACAATTTATTTGGATCGACTTATTTTAGATTATTTTAAATTAACTATATACTATTTATTTATACTATTTGAATAAGATAAAATCGCACTTCATTCATTCATTATTTAAAAAAAATAGACTTTTATTTGTAACATATTAAGAAAAAATATTGTAATTTTTTTTCCTATTTCCACTCAATATTAATTACTTATATCTTAAAATCTAAAATTATACATCAGTTAATTAATATGAATATTGTGCTAAAATACTTATTTTAATCATTGTTTCTTAAGAGATGTGGACAAGCAAAAATAAAAAAACTCTTAAAGATTTACAGTAAGTCATAAGCTATAAGTTCATCCAAACAGATTCTTACTTAAAAAGTTCCTCTCTATTTCATTTTATTAATTATATGAAATTCGTTTGAATATGTAGAGTTTAAAAAAGAAAAACATTGAAATTTATATTCTTCAAATGTCATTGTTTATTTGTGTAGCTATAAATTTTACTATATAATTAAGAATAAAATACTAAGTTTAAAATTTAATTATTTTTCAAAATAGAATGGTTCACATAGTAAAAAAACATAGCTATACTAAAATAGAGAGTAAGGTAAAATTCGCAAGCTCAAGATTGATATCACTTTTTTTTATTTATTTAAAGATTTATATCAGTTGTGTTATACCAGTTTATTTAATGTTTCACAAGTGTATGATGATACTTTGCAATTAAAACTGTTAAGAGCATAAAATTTGGAAAGAATAAAGAGATAAAGAGATAAAGGAAAAGTCTCTACACCTCTAGCTCCTTTTCTTTTGTTGTTAAAATAATAGTCAAATAAAGAAGTAAATTACTTTCTTATCCTAGCCATATCCCCTTTTGTTTTTATTCTTTTATACTAGTATATATTGTATTTGTTGGTTGTGAACAAGTATATAAACGTAATGTTTAATTTAAGGTAAAAAAACTTACTCCTTTGATATCAGTTGAAGTGCAGCCCATTATTAATTGTTCCAATTCAGATGCAGACCTTGCTCCTAGTTTATGATGCTGTTGCTGCTGCCGAAAGATGATACACTCAATTAGAACATAATCATATTTGTGATCATGTATTGTCTTCAACAAACACGGATCGTGCAGATTATTTCTTCTTTCCTATTTTATTTTTTTACCTCACACATATATATAAACTCATCATCCATGTTTCCTAATGCACTTCTACTTAGTACATGTCACTCATTATCCCATCCCTACGGGTTTAACTTATACATTTTTAATCTATAGCATTCCTATATTATATGCCAAATAATATAATAGGCACTATTAAATGCCGACTTTATTAGTTACTTTTAAAAAATAATTCCATATGTAATCTAAGCCAAAGAAATAATATTGAGTTAAGATGAAGCTAGTCTACTCACTAAATCCACCCCTAAGTAACATGTCTTATTTGTAAATTACAAATCTCACTTTCAATGAACAATTATACATAATTATCTTTCTAATGAGCTAATAAAAAGTTATAAACTCAGTCTCAATTTTTGTGGTATGGTTAGAATTTCGAGATTTAAATTTATAATTTTTTTTTATCGTGAGTACAGACATAGATACTTTATGTTCTTTTGAATATCATTTATATATTTAAAAATTACATAAAAGATACTTTAAATCACAATAATTTAAAAGATTTTTTTAAAAAAATCATTAACTCTCATAATCTCAACTGTACCACATAAATTGGGAAAGGTAGAGTATCTAAGACGGTAATGAATTTAAAGTGTATGAATTAGAATACTCTTTTTCTTTTAGCTGTCCCTACTTCATTAAAAAAGGAAAAAGTAAGAAGAAAGTGATTCTGTTTCTGAGTTACCTGAAAGTTGTCATTTGGAAGGATTATAGATCTTGGAACATGGAAGGCATCTTCCCCTAAAATGACGGAAGTGTTATGGAGTGGAGGCGGAGTTATAATGGCTGATATTGGAGGTGTTGGCCTGCTAATGTGGAATGCACTGCTTGCAACTAGATGATGTTGGTGTTGGTGTTGGCGTTGGTGGAGCTGAGGATCATGTACGTTTTGCGGCTCCCCCATGTCACACTCTTCTGGTGCTGCTGCCGCTGGACCACTTTCTCTTGTTATTGAACCTTCACCTACGACAATGCCTGCCTGCAAAAAAAAATTAATTTTCAAAAAAATTGTTTTTTTTTTTATTTCAAGTTTCAAACTTAATGGTAGATTGAGATGCTTTTTTTTTTTTCTTCTTCTTTTTGAAAGCTCAACAACAAAAATAAAATATTGACAGTCAAGTATAGTAGTACAATTTTCGTTGCTACTTATTTAAGCAATGTGCATGTGGAAACTGAAAAACAGCTAGGGTTTATTTGAATTTGACATTTCATGGAGCTAAATAGTTGTTGATGAGTCTTAGGACAAAATACTATTATCTGCTATCCTACATATATATATCATGTGACGAAAATTGCCTGATAGTAGACATTTTTTTAAAATTCAAATAGTATAACACTAGAATATGAAGAGCTTTTATCCAAAGAGTAGAATCGTGAAAGGTGATTTAAAGAATGAAGAATGAATACCTGATCATGATCAAAGGTTTTCCTAAATGGGAGAAAGCTAAAATGTTCAGGTTTGTATTGTTGAATATCCATAGTAGAATAACTTGACATAGCAGCACAAACAGCAGCAGACAATTCATCCCTATGAGAAGGAAGATTATTATTATTATTATTATTATTGTTGATGTCCTTCGACGACGAACAGCTTCCACTTCCACTATCCCTTCTGCTATTAACATCACTGTTGGCTTGATCTCCAGCAGCACTGCTAGTAGTGTTACTCCAATTACATTGCCTTGGTTGAGTCTGATAGAATATCTTTGACACCACAAGCTCACCTTCTTTCTCTTCTTCATGTTGTCCTAAATGGTATTGATGCATTACCCAATTTGTCTTCTCTGGTTTACGGTTCTTCCCAAAGTTTGTGTATAGAACTAGAATTTTCTTACACCCTCTTTGCTTCCCATTCACCATTACTGGCCTAGTCTTACCTGTCTTGTGCCAACGGGTTTCACCTCCTTGCAAGTCTTGACATTCTGTTTGGATTTTCCTTCTTTTTCTTGTACCTGTTGTGTATGCTTTTGATGGTCTGTGGAAGAAATGTCTACTTAGTCCATCCCTTGTAACACCTAAACAAGATAAAAAATCAAAAGTTAGGTCGGACAAACCCCCCCAAAAAAACTAAAACAATTCACATGGGTTATTTTTCCGATAACTAATTCTAATTATTTGAAGTAACTTGATATTGTGGGTGTAGAAAAGTTAAACACTCTTTAATTTGTTGAATGTGAGTGAGAAAAAAAGACATGACAAGGAGAATAAAGACAAGGTAGCTAGCTAGCCTTTATTTGTTCCTTGGAAATTACAAGAAAGGTACATAAATAGTAAAACCTAACTGGTTGAATTATGGTACAAGAAAATGCCAATATTTGTTGGTAGGAGAGAAAGAGTTGAAAACCTGGAAGCTTCTCAGGATGAGTATAGCAAATCCCATCTTCTCCTTCAATAGTAGGAATGAACTCATCAATCAAAGGGTGGGATTTTGATTCTTTAGCCACTACTTTTGCTTCAAGGTGTTCTATCAATTCTTGATCTGTTGGGTCAAACTTCACTCCTGCTGGTAGACCTACCCAGTCCTATAGTAATTATAATTAAAACATACTAACAAAATACTCTTCATAAACATAAAACCTCGAAAATTAAACACCCTTTTGAAATCACAATATTTCTGGAATTTAAATCAAAAACATATTTCTGTAGTGTGAATACTTTTTTTTTTCAATATCTTAGCTAAATCATAGCCTGTTTTTTTTTTTGTTATGGAAATCTTTGTAAAGAAGCAAAGAATATTAAAATTAAGTAAGTAGTATTTATGAAAGTAAAATTTGTACCGGCTTTCCTTCGAGCTTGTGTCCACAACCAGGACACTGCTTAGATCCACACAATTGGTGTTCTTCAAGCTTTGCATCAATAAGATCACTACTGCTGATGGATCCCAACTGATGACTACTCTTATTCATCGCTTTTTTTTTTCTTTTATATTCCTAGACGATATAAATGATTTCTTTCTCTCTTTTTTTTTTTAAAAAAAAATTATTATCACAGCTAAAATTCTTCCATAGGATCCTCAATATTTACAACTTTGGTATCAAGCTTGGTAGACATAAAGAATCCTGTGAACAAAAAAAAAACATTCAGAAACGAAAAAAAGGAACACTCCAGTAGTAGTTAATAAAATCGAAGATCCGTCTCTTCAACAAGAGGAGAAAATCCTATAGTTCTAACATGGATAGACAAGTATATATATATATATATATATATTACAAATTAAAAAAATAGGAACAAGTTAATAAGATGGAGTTGTACCCTAAAAAACTGGAAAAGGGAGAGAGAAGAGTAGAGAAGAGAAGAGAATAGAAAAGAATAAGGATGAAGATATATATAAAACCAACTTTAAGGCCCTTGAAAACATGAGAATTTCCTCTTACTTTAACTGAAACGAATTAAGAGATAAAGGAAAAGTTGCCACATAGATATATCCCTGTCTTCTATATGCCCTACCTTTCCTAATTTAAGCACTGCATGAAGACGTTTTTTCTGTGTGAATGAAAGAGAGAGAAACAAAGAAAGATAAATTTGGGTCGGTTTTTCTTCTTTCTCTCTCTCTCTCTGTTTGTAAAGCTATAAAAGCAACCTTCTTACACCTTTGTTTCGAGTCCCCTTGACTACTAAAGCAAAAGCTTCGGAACGCCCTTCACAAAAGCACATCTACCCTCACACCCCTTCCTTTTCTCTACTTAACTAAACATATAAGTATATTAAAACGAATATCTCAATAGTATTTTTACTATATAAGTGACATCAATCTCTTTTTATTTTTAAATTATACTGGTCTATAAAATTTAAACTCATTAAAATAATGCACGATATATATACAAGAGTTTGTGTTATGTACAAATAAATTTGACTTAGTATATTTTTAATAAAATAATTTATACCTTATTTTAGATTACAAATTTTAAAAATATATATATCATTTTCATAAGCTTTATGTAAAATCAAATTATAAATTTGATGTGAGTGAGTACATGATTTGAATAAATAAAAATACACTTAAGATTTGAAGAAATAATCTCTTTTGGGGTGCTTTGCAAAGGAATATTTATTTATACTCCGTCTGTCTTTGGTAATTAGCTCACAAATTAAAGTAGTACTAGCTAGTACATTTGATGTATTTATTTGATTCTCCTTTTGATAGAAAATATCTTGAGAGAGTGAAACTAATTTTATTTTTATTTTTAAAAATAGTTTCTAAAAATATGAAGAGTGACAGGATTCTTTATGAAAGGAAACAAAAGATAACTTAGGAAAAGGAAATAAAAAATGATAGAAATTCACATGGGTTTTGAGCTGGAGTAGTAATCATGATTCTTTTGGCATGTATGTCGCTGAAAGACATACTAAAGGAGAGAGACTGGGGTGGGGTTAGGGGCCTAGGGGTTTGGGGGGGGGGGGGGGTGTACCAGATTGCTTGATATGCAAGGAAAATAAGCAGTATACTTGATGGATTGCCACCACCCTTGTAATTAAAATAATACGTAATGTTCATGTATATACATTATTATATTATACATGTATTTATTCTCAACTTACATTTAAGTACTATTGGAAATTGACAAGACTTGAAACTGAAGCACTTAGGAACCAAATAATTATGCATTGGATGATTTATCTACACATATGTCTAGTTTAAATATTCATAGCATAAGCTCATTGATATTCTCTGCTCACATCTTCTAAGTAGATCTTATAATGTATTATCAATAAAATGGGAATGTATTTTGTAGTGTTTTCCACTTATAATATACTCCTCTGTCCCAATTTATATGACTTACTTTCCTTTTTAGTCAATCCAAAAAAGAATGACACATTTCTATATAAAGTAACCATTTAACTATAAAATGTCCATTTTACCCTTAATAAAATGATTTACAGCCACATAAATTTCTATCATTCATTTTAGATCACAAGTTTTAAAAGTCTTAATTCCTTTCTTAAACTTCGTGCCGAATCAAAGTACCTTACATAAAATGGGACGGAGGGAGTATTATCAACAAAATGGGAATGTATTTTGTAGTGTTTTCCACTAATAATGTTTATAAAATATTTATATAATTCATAATAATGAAGGATAATAATAATAAATAACTTCATTTAATAATAGATTAAATTTTTAAAATAATTAAAAGAATCGAATTATTATAACAAAAATATTATTTTGTTAGTACAAAAGGCACTCTTAAACTGTATATACTTTAAATCATATTTTGTGTATGAGACAGGTGACACGTGTCTATATATAGTATTCCTAATTTTTGTTGTGGGGATACTAAAAAAAATTAAGGAAACGGCACAAACATTATTTTTATAGAACATATGGGTATATTGATCTAGAATCCATGTGATATATATATAGTTTTTTGTTTGAAGACGATATTTATTTATTTTAAAAGAAAAGGATTATGAAGGTAATTAATTGTATGTAGCATTGAATAAGAAAAAGAAAGAATAATATCTTAGACAGCTAAAGAGTTTAGGCGAATTAAATTGGGAATTTGGATGATTTTTGGAATCAAATTATATGGCTAAAATCCTACTATTAGACTTGTGAATGTACCAAACATCTTTTGATTGTTTTGATTGCTTTTTTTGTTCATGAAGAGTTTAAATAAATAAAAAAAGAAATAAGGAATAAGTATATAATATGACAGTAGCTGTTGACCATTAAGTTGACAATTGACTAATCCATGGATGGAGCCCACTTATCATAACACTGTTTTCTTGGTCTTCGATTTTCCACATGTTCCATGATCATCTTGGCATTCTGTGCATTCCTTACATACCTTTTCGTCACAAAATAACAAAAATAAATGACCCTAATGTTTCACATAATTTTATAATTGTTATTTAAATATATTTTTGATTAGTTTTATTCTTTTAAATTAACTAAATATAATGACTCTTTGTCATTTTAAAAAAAAAAATATTTAACAAATTCTAACATTAAGATTTAACTTTCCACGAAAAAAAGTATTTAATCAGGAACTAGGAGAATGGATAACCTTTTTTCGAAAAAAGAGAAATTAGCGACGGACAAAATTTCATAACTAAACACAAAAAGTCGATGCTTATTCCATTTAGCTACGTACATATAAGTGGTGAATATTATAAGAAAAATTAATTAGCTAGAGCATTTTAGCAACAAATTAGCTAGGAATTGAGGGTAAATTTCATAGCTAATTTCATATTTTCTTGAAGTGTGTCCCACCATAATCCCAATCTATTGGAAAAATAACTCTCATTTACTAAATGGATTGAGTTAATCCCTATATCAGAAAAAACAAATTGAAGATTAGTTGTGGAGGTGCTTATCAACTTATAATTGAGTTCCACAAATTACACAACTTGTTTCTTTTCCTTCCAATTCTCCATTAACTAGCTAAAAGTAACTCATAAATTATAACTAAAATTTGAAATTTATATACATATATTTATTAAAAAGAAGGTGTGTGTTTGAGAGAGAGAGAGAGAGTGGAGACAAAACATATATATAAATAAATACATAACAAGGTCAAATCAAGATTATTGTTCCTATTTGTGTGACAGTTTTATTTATTGAAAATAATGGTTGATAAATCTTTATACTACTCCTACGAGCATCATCTTATCATTAAAAGGAAGATTGTCGAAGTGACAGAAAATGCAATAAACAGAATGCAGCCAGTGCAAAGAAGCAACTAGCTAAGCATATAAATATATATATTTAGAACTATTTTTGTTAATTGTTTGATTTTAATAGAAAAATGGGGATAGGGAGCACATGTTTTGTGTCATAGGAGGTGGTGTGGGTATGAATGTAATGGTTTGCTTATGAATAGGCATGCTAAAACAGTCATCATTAACCCAAAAGGTTACTGGCCACTGCCCACCACTCTCAACTTGTTTTCTTCTACTACATCCCAAGCTATTCATCATTTGCTGGCCCACTATGCTTCTTCTATTTTCACTTCTTCCCTTTTCGTTTTTTTTCTTCCCTAACAACTTTCCCCACCATAAATATATATATATATATATCCAAACAAAACTACCATATCTTTCTACCATCTATACACTATTACAATGCTACATTCATTGGGTAACAACCATTTTTTTTCATATCTCTCTCTCTCTAATTCAAAAATACCAGTTAACATACAATTTCAAATTATATATATCCAAACAAAACTACCATATCTTTCTACCATCTATACACTATTACAATGCTACATTCATTGGGTAACAACCATTTTTTTGCATATCTCTCTCTCTCTAATTCAAAAATACCAGTTAACATACAATTTCAAATTACACAAATGTTTGCAACAAATTTTAGAGTGACAAAAAATAAATTACAATCACAAATAAAATATGAAGAAGCGTAGTTTTATTGATAAATATGGCGGATAAAATTATGTTCCTTCCTTGATTCTTCTCACATAAGATTTATCCATATTTATCCATGATTCAAGGGCCGTTAGTTGCGTATTTCTCGAATTAAGATGATTTGGATTTGATCTCTTTGTAAATATTCTATTATTTTGTGGAATACTCGAGATGCCTTTTCAAGGGAATATTGTACCCTTTATATATACATGAACTAGGGTTTAGGGTTGAGTAACCTCCAAAAATCCTAATTAAAATTGAACACACCTGTAGAGTCTCAACTCGAATTGAACAGGTTTTGTAGAGTCTCACAAAACTTCAATGTCTAAAATAAACATATGAAATTTCATGACAGTAAATATTTTTTATAAAGATAAAGTCAAAGAGTGACTTATAATCTATTTCTACCATTCATTATTTTATATGACATGTTATGGTCAGGAGGGTTGTTTAAGTATACACGCAGTTTAAGCTAGATTAAAAGTATGATTTAACTGTAAGTGTTTGATAGATACAAAAACATTTATAAATGGGGGTTGGGGGGGGGGGTTATTGCTCTCA